TGATGGATCTGGAGTCAGTAAGTATAAGCAAACAGGCAAATACAGCACATCAACGGGATAAACATAATTAACTATTTACAGTCCATGAAAAAACATTGTAATGTACGCAGTGAAAATCAAAGAAGAAATACACTTGTGCTCATATAACTGTGAAACCTCAAATGACAAAATATACAGGGCAAATGACAAAATATGAGGTGCCCGCTCACCATTCCAGGTGTTGAAGGTGCTACTATGCTAGGGTCTCCCCATTCAATAAGGGGAAGCCTGGCTGCAGCTTTGCCAGGGGAAAATGGGGTGATGCTTCAGGCCCCTCCAACCCCTCGTGGGCTAGGACGGGACCCCCTACTTCACAGGGGCCTGTTCTGGCTCCCGAGGGCTCCCTTCCTTGTGGGACACCCTTGTTCCCAACACTTACAACCCCCTGGTGATGTGGGGCTGTTCTGGCTTTGTGGAATGAGCACTTCTCTTGCCACGGTGGCTGGCCACTGCCTGGGGCTCTCTCCCATCCTGAGGCCTGCTCATGACCCTGTGCACTGACCCATGCACTGTTTGGCTCACTCCTTATGGCAGGGGTTGGAGGCCCGGGCTGTCTCATGTGACACCGGGGCTTGATCAGCTCCTGGACCCACTGGGGGATGCTGCCATGTCAGCAGCCTGGCTGTGTCCCAGGAGTTGGGGACCCCAGCCACCTTGAAACAGCTCCCAGAGTCCTGGTCAGCATTTTGACCCTCCATGCAGCAATCTCTGCATCACACTCCTTGGGTGTCTGCTGGGGTTGCAGACCTGAGCCGCGTTGAGTGGCTCCCAGGGCCTGGGCTCCATGCACTGCTCCCTGGCCCCCTGCCAGGGGATGCAGACCTGGATTGCTGCAAGCAGCCCCAAGGTTTGAGCCCTGTGCACCACTTCATTCACCGATGGGGCTGAGGCATCAGTCCTGGTGAGGGGGGGTACTTCTGGGTGCTGCTTTGCCCACTAGGCAGCTCTTCCTCATCTCTTCTTAGCCTCTTCTTCCTTCATCGTCCCCTGACATGTCTCTTGTGTGCTGAGCACACGGCTCCTTTTATTTGCTTCAGAGGGTCCACCCCCACAAAGTCTTGCCAGACCTGCGAAATGCAGGTTTCACTCAGGCCCGTGAGGCTCCTCACCCCCACTTACAGGCAGGCCAGGGTTGGCTCTGTTCAGCCCTTACCTGATTGGTGGATGGGCTCCACCAATCCAAAATGAAGATTTTCCAAGCCCAGGACGTGCCAGGCTGATTCAGTAAGTCCACCACATTTGTAAATATTCCTACTCAGAAAACTTAGTCAATTTGGCCAGGGACAGAAGTTACAAAATAGACTGGTTTAAGTGATGAGAAACTGGTTTGAACCTGTAACAGAACAGAAATTCAGTGCACATAAACCAGTTTCAAAGTGGCTGAAACTGGTTTAAGAT